TGCCCCGTGTTCCAGAAAAGCCACTGGGCAGAGCGAGCGCGGTCATTCCAAGAGCGCTGGTTCACCGCAGGGGACCTGCTCCCCATTATTTCACGTACGTGCCGCCAAATCCGATCGATGACCTGCGTGCCACCCTTTGTGCATGCCACTTCTCCGTTTGGCATGCAGCGCTTTGAGCCTAAACGCCTACGGCGGGGAGCAGATTCAAAAACAACGCCGCAGAGGGAATGGTTGCTACTTTGAAGGTGATGGGAGAGAAAACATGTCGATTGTGCATGCTCTTCAGCGGCCAAGACACGCCAAGATCATTTCGGGCGTGTTTCGTGTGCCTATCTCGAATTAGCTTTGGCAGAAATCTGAAGAAGCCGTGATGACAACCAAAGGTTGATGTCCGCTGGTCCATCATGTGAGGTTGCCTGGCATGAGAGGCACGAGCGACAGAGGCACGAGCAACGTCTGGAGCGCGAGCTGCACTAGCAGCAGCATTGCCAACAGCAAGAGCAGCACCAGGACTAGCAGCAGCACCATCAGCAACAACACTGTTAAGGGCATAAGCAGCATCAGCAGCAACACAATCGGACGGGGAGGGTAAACCCAAAGACTAGTATTGAACACGCTATGTTGGCCATATGGTGTTTCTGTATATGTATGTGCAGGCTTTGTAGCGTTTGTCTTGAATTGTATTTTCATCCAGAACTAGGTGTAGATCCACACAGTGGAACTACGCGGCGGAATTCCACGGAACTGTCAGAAAGCAACTTCGAATACATATGTTCGCAACGATGATAATGGGAAGCTGCCCGAGACACACAAACACACACACACACACACACACACACACATTACGATATTTTCGGGTGCGTTTCGCATGCTTTTCGGGTGTTCTCGGGGTGCTTTCGGGGTGCTTTCGGGAGGCCTTCCAGGGCTTAACAAAAAGCATTTAAAAATATACGCGAGAGGGGTCACAAGGAAGGCACCAGAGGAACACTGAGAGATATCGTGCGTTCGACGTCCTCCAAGCGCCCTGAGCTGATTATTAACTGTCCTCGGTGGGCACCCCGAGAGCTCCCGAAAGGCACCCGATGAGCACCCCGAGGGCACCCGCAAGACACCCGATGAGCACCCCGAAGGCACCCGATGAGCACCCCGAGGGCACTCGAAAGGCAATCCGCGAGAAACTTGGAAAGCGCCCCCCCATGGAACTCGGACGGCGCTGTTTCTCCTCCCCCTCCGCCGCGTCCTTCTCTCTCCCATCCTCCTCCTCCCCCTCCTACTGATCCTCCTGCTCCTCCTCCTGCTCCTTTTGGTGCCCCTCCTGGGCCTCGGAAGACACTGAACTCACGATATCTTCCTGGTGTCTCCCTGGTGTCTCCCTCGTGCCTCTTTTTTATTGTTTTCTCCGGCTCTGGAAGATCTCCAATACGCATCCCGAGAAACGAAGGGGACAAAACACAAGTCTGCCTCGCCCTTCTCTCTCCTATCCTCCTCCTCCCCCTCCTACTTATCCTTCTGCTCCTCCTCCTGCTTTTTCTGGTGCCCCCCCTGGGCCTCGGAGGGCGCTGAACTCACGATATATTCCTGGTGTCTCCCTGGTGTCTCCCTCGTGTATCCATTTTTTCTTGTTTTCTTAAGCCCTGGAGAATCTACAACAAGCGTCCTGAGGGGCACAGGGGACATAAGCTAACAAAGGGGACAAACATAAACAAAGGGGACAAAGGGGAGAAAGGGGACAAAAGGGGACAAGGGAAATAAAAAGGGACAAAGGGAACAAGAGGGGACACAAGAGACAAAGGGGACAAAAGCTAACAAATGAAACAAACAGGAAGAAAGGGGACAAAGGGGACACAGGGGACAAAGGGGACAATTTTGGGACAAAAAGGGAGAAGGGGAATAAAAAAGGGACAAAGGGAACAAAGGGGACAAGAGGGGACACAAGGGACAAAGGCCACACAAGAATGACACAAGGAGACAGAATGGAACAAACAGGACAAAAGGGGACACAAAGAAACAAGATATACAAAATGGGACAAAGGGGACAAAAGAGGACAAAAGGGGACAAAGGATATAAAAGGGGACAAAAGGGGACAAAAGGACAAGAGGGACAAACTATGACGAAGGAACGAAAGAAGACAAAGTCACACGAAAGGCGCCCCTAAGGCACCCGCAAAACACCCGAAAGGCACACGAAAGACACTCGCAAATCGCCCGCACACAATTCCAGGAACAACATATTTCCTAGAAAAGTACTGCATGTGCTGTTGAACTGTGCGACTAGGAAACCAACGCTTTGCTCCAAGCGACCCAAGGATTGCATGGCCAAGGCACCCGCAAGGCACCCGCTATGCACCCCAAAGGCACCCGCAAATTGCTTACGCCAAATTTCAAGAAACAAAAATCTTCCAAAAGTGTTGCGCTTGCAATTGAAACCTCCGGTTATGAAAACAAAGTTTTGCTCCAATCGACCCCAGATTTCATTGTCAAAACACCCGGAAAGCACCCGAAAGGCACCCCAAAGACACCCAGAAATCGGCACACCATTTTTTAAGGAAACACATACCCTCGAAAAGTGCTAACAGTTGTATTGAAACTTACATATCCAACAACGATGTTCTGCGCCAGGCGCCCCAGAACTTCATGTTTGTGCGCTCCGCCCCCCGCAAAAGTTAACAACAAATGCACATACTTTCCCCCTTTTCACAGCCTCAAGAAGCCCTCGTGGGCAGCGGCAGGCGCTAGCAATCCCCCCTTTTTTTCAAAACCTTCAGCAAGCTCCGCCTGGATCCCTTTGGCTCCCTCTTGGTTCCTCCTCATCTCCCTATTGGCTTCCATTCGGCTCCGTATCGATGGATTCCTTTTGTAGCAAAGTTCCATATGGATTCCTTTTTGTGAGGATTTCATTAGGATTCCTTTTGTGGAGGATTACAATACGATTCCTTTTGTGGAGGATTGCAAAACCATTCGGGACCTTGATTTCGTTGATTTTGTTGCCTGGGTGCTCTGATTTTCTTGTTTTTCATTTGGTTTTGACTGAGTTTCCTGTTTTTGTTGGTTTACGGCGCCCTCGCTCCCCCAGCGCCGCTTCCACCTCGCCCCCAGAGGGGGCGCGGGAGAGCAGAAACCAACAAAAACAGGAAAATCAGTCAAAACCAAATGAGAAACAGGAAAATCAGAGCACCCAGGCAACAAAATCAACGAAATCAGCGCCACACACACACACCAGGATTCCTTTCGCGGATGATTACAATAGGATTCCTTTTGTGGAGGGTTACACTAGGATCCCTTTGGTGAGGATTTCATTGGGATTCCCTTTGTGGAGGATTACAAAAGGATTCCCTTTGTGGAGGATTAATCGGAATCATTTTGCGAAGATTTCATTCGGATTCCTTTTGTGGAGGATTACAAAAGGATTCCCTTTGTGGAAGATTACAATAGAATTCCTTTTGTGAGGATTCCATTAGGATTCCTTTTGTGGAGGATTGCAATAGGATTCCTTTTGTGGAGGATTGCAAAACCATTCGGGACATTGATTCCGTTGATTTTGTTGCCTGGGTGCTCTGATTTTCCGGTTTTTCCTTTGGTTTTGACTGATGTTCCTGTTTTTGTTGGTTTTCGGCGCACTCGCTACCCCCAGCGCCGCCTCCACCTCACCCCCAGAGTGGGCGCGGGGGAGCAGAAACCAACAAAAACAGGAAAATCCGTCAAAACCAAAAGAAAAACAGGAACATCAGAGCACCCAGGCAACAAAATCAACGAAATCAGAGCCCCAAATTGTTTTGCAATTATCCACAAAAGGAATCCTAGTGTAATCCCCCACAAAAGGAATCCGAATGGAATTCTCACAAAAGGAATCCGATTGTAATCCTCCACAAAGGGAATCCTATTGTAATCCTCCACAAAAGGAATCCGAATGAAATCCTCGCAAAAGAAATCCTATAGTAATCCTCCACAAAAGGGAATCCTATTGTGGAGGATTACAATAGAATTCCCTTTGTGGTGGATTGCAATGAGATTCCTTTTGTGAGGATTTCATTAGGATTCCTTGAGTGGAGGATTGCAATAGGATTCCCTTTGTGGGGGAACCAACAGGATTCCTTTTTGTGAGCATTTCATCAGGATTCCTTTTGTGGAGGATTACAATAATATTCCTTTTTGTTGAGAATTGCAAAACCATTCGGGGCCCTGATTTCGTTGATTTTGTGGCCTGGGTGCTCTGATTTCCCTGTTTTCCCTTTGGTTTTGACTGATTTTCCTGTTTTGTTGGTTTTCGGCGCCCTCGCTCCCCCAGCGCCGAATCCACCTCCAAACCAAACAAAAACAACAAAACCAATGGTTTTCAATAGTTTTCCATTGGAAACGTTGAAAAACCAGTGGCTTTCAATGGGAAAATTGTTGTTTTCTTTGGTTTCTGCAAAAAAACAATATAAGAAACAACGCAAGACGAACAAGAAGATGAAGAAGAACAAGAAAAGCTCGAAGGGGGATCTTGGGAACCCCCCCTACCATATATATATATATATATATATATACACAGAGAGAGATACATAATCGCATGTCTCGGCGATAGTAACATATGTATGTATATACAGCCCACTCTCTACGCTCAGTTCTAATCTGTCCATGCTCCCAAACGAAAAAAACAATTGTACTTGGCCGCGGCTAAGAACACGATAACTCGGGGAGCTGGAGCCGAGCAGCCAAGGACTGGGGACCCTGCCGCTCGCCGAAATCGGCCTGCAAGAAGCCCCCGAGCAGTCCCCTGCCTCCCAGAAACCTCCAAGAAATCCAGAAAGAAGCCTCCAAGAAACCTGCAATAAGATTCCAAGAGGCCCCCCAAACACCCACAAACCGTAACACACTTACTTTGCAATGGTACGACTGCTGCACGGCCTGAGATTGTTCGACTGATCCTGTTCGGAGACATGGGTAGAGCCACCCTACACGCATTCTCATGCTGCGCTGGCACGGCGGCGGGGTGTGCCGTAGGCAGCTGGATAGCGCGCCACCTGCGGGGATGGGAACATCCCCTTCACCTTCGTCGAGCGGTCCCGGTTGCCAGTGTACGTGCCGCCGACGGTTTGCCAGACGCTCCCATCCTCGGAGGTGGCCACCTGGTAGCTGGTCACCCACTGATTCCAGTTCGCACGACCTTGAGTCACAACGCCACTGACAATGACAGATGTGCCTAGGTCCAGCTGCATCCAATGGCCGTGTCTGTTCCACCTAGAGCTCCAAGCCTGCACCGAGTCGAGCGCGGATCGGGCGTGCCCAGTCCCGATCCTGTTGTTGCCCCAGACGCTAGAGTATCTCCGCTGACTCTCTGGCTTGTTGGTGGTACTGCTGCTGCTCGCAGAGCAGGAGCTCGACGAAGCGGACGCTGACACCGCCTCGGCTCTTGACTCCGTCAAGACATACAGGGAGCTCTGCGCCAGCTCACTCGCATTCGACATCATGCTGCCCACCGCATCCGATTCATGCTCGTCCTCCATTTCATCCTCATCTGCCTCTTGGAACAAGTCGTTGCTCTGGCTATCTGCGGTCTCGTCGGTGCTGGGTTCGATAATGACTTCCTCGGCGTACTGCGCCAACTCGCTCGCGTTCGGCATTCTGATGTCAGCCGGGTCCTCTGCCTCGTCGTCCTCCTCCGCCTGCGGTGAGTCTGTGGCCTGGACTTCTGCTGCCGCGTCGGTGCTGCACTCCACGTACGACTCCTCGGGGTAGACCAGCAGCTCACTAAAGATCGGCATGATGCTGTCGGCCGCGCCTTCTTCCTCGCCTCCCTCCTCTCCCTCCTGGGACCAGTCGGCGGCCTGTCTTTCTGCGGCCACGCCGCTGCCAGATTCCGTCGAGAACTCCTCAGCAAACTGCGCCAACTCACTCGCGTTCGGCATTCTGTTGTCAGCCGGGTCCTCTGCCTCCTCCTCCTCCTCCTCCTCTTCCTCCTCCTCATCTCCCTCCTCCTGGGTCAAGTCGGCACCGGTGCTTTCTGCTGGCGCGTCGGAGCTGGGATCCACTAAGAGATCATCGGCGAAATGCTCCAGCTCACTCGAATTCGACATCGTGATGTCAGCTGCGCCCTTCTCCTCATCCTCCTCCTCATCGTACCTTGTCTCCTGGGGCAAGTCGGCGGCCTGGCTACCTGCACTCACGTCGGTATTGGATTCCACGGGGACCTCCTCGGCATACTGCTCCAGCCCACTCTCGTTCACCATTCTTGCGTCCGCGGGGATTTCCTCGGCGTGCCGCGCCAACTCAGCCTCGTCCAACATTTCATTGTCCGTGGGGATCTCCTCGGTGAGCTGACCCAGCTCGCTCTCAGTCGCCATTATGCAGTCCACGGGGGGTTCATCAACGTGCTTCGCCAGCTCGATCTCATCCGGCATTTTGCTGTCAGCTGGGTCCTCTTCCTCATCAACATTCTCCACGTCCTGGGGCAGATCGGAGACGTGAACATGGATCTCTGCTGCCGCGTCGATCTCGGCCGTCTGCACGAGCTCACTCGCTCTAGGTATGTCGCCGTCCATCAGCTCCTCCCCGGGCGGAAGGGAACGAGAAAAAGAAGCAACACCGAGGAGTATGCACATTTGGAAACGAGGAGAAACGAGCAGGATAAGACGAGGAGGAGGATCAGGAGCAGCAGTAGGAGCAGAAGGAAGAAGAGGAGTAGCAAGCAGAGCACGTATCTAATACTTAGTAACAAATGATGCACGGCGAAGAGGCAGAGAAAGAGGAGGGGGGGGGCAAGGGAGCCCCAGAAAGATGCCCCTGACCAACCGAATAAAAAAGCCGGAAGGTAATTTCTTAAAGAGATCTCCCCAAACCTCCCCAACAGCCCCTCAAACCCCCCTACCATGAGGATGGTCCAAAGGGGGGTCCGGAAGAGTAACCCCCCAAAACCTCCCTGCCCAAACCGCCCTGAAGCAAGATTTCGCGTGACACCCCCCTCCCCCCCCCCCCCCGCCCCCAACAAAAAACACGCGCGGGTCAAGGGGGTCCAGAAGCAACGCCTCCGCACCCCTCTCTTCTAAGAAAACCTCAGAGGGGTCGGCGAGGAAAAAACATCCAGCAACAAGCACACACCCCCTGGGGAGGGAATTCAAGGCGGTTCCAGAGAGACCTCCACTGACACACAAAGGAGGTCCAACGGAAAACCCACATGATCTCTCCGAACACCTCCCCTGAGGAGGGGGTCAGGCTGGTTCCGCGAAAGGAGAGCACCCCCCTTGTAAAAACCCTCCTTAAGGCCGGGGTCTGGGAGGACAAAACACTACCCCAGCAAAGAAATTTGGGGGGGTCTCGGGGAAACCTCCCCCCTTCAACAAACTGATATGGAGTCCGAAGGAACAGCAAGCCCTACCCCCGTCCCCCCCCTCCCTGAGGGGCTCCGAAGGAACACCTCCCTTACCCTCCCAAGACCAATCCCTGAGAAAGGGGTTCTGGGGACAAACACAGCATTCGTTCAACTACAACAAGCTCTGCGCATCCTCATAGGCGACGACGGAACGCAATAAAAGTGACTCGGTATGGGCTTCAACCAGCTTTTCCAGATACATGCCAAACTATTCATCTGATATGATTTTGTATCTCCGCATCGTCTTGCGGCCGACTGCCCGGTAGGCGATGCGTCGGGCCTTGAACGACAAATATTCGAAGGACGAGCTGAGAGGAGGAGGAGGAGGAGGAGGAGGAGGAGGAGGAGAAGGAGGAGGAGGAGGAGAAGGAGGAGAAGGAGGAGGAGGAGGAGAGAAGAAGACAGAGGGAACGCTTCTCGCCTTCCCCCCAAATATGAACATCCCAGAGAAGGGGGGTCTGGATACTTACCCTGGCGACGTACCCAACCCCTGCGCAATGCGGGGCATAAATAGCTTGGGAAACGTTATACGGAGGTGATGACGTGACATGGGCGCATCTGCTTCTGCGAGTGGCATTCGTGAGGCTCGCAGACCCCAAGGACGGCGAGCTACTGCTCAGATCTGCGCGGTGCCTCACTCCGCTGGACCCACCAGCACCCCCCGAAAGTGGCGACAATTTCGCAGATCGCAGCCCCCCAGAGAGGCGAGCTACCGCTCAGATCTGCGCGATGCCTCACTCCGCTGGACCCACCAGCAGCCCTCGAAAGTGGCGACAATTTGGCAGATCGCAGCCCCCCAGGGACGGCGAGCTACCGCTCAGATCTGCGCGGTGCCTCACTCCGCTGGACCCACCAGCAACCCTCGAAAGTGGCGACAATTTCGCAGATCGCACCCCCCCAAGAACGGCGAGCTACTGCTCAGATCTGCGCGGTGCCTCACCCCGCTGGACCCCCAGCAGCCCTCGAAAGTGGCGACAATTTCGCAGAACGCAGCCCGCGAAAGACGGCGAACTACCGCTCAGATCTGCGCGGTGCCTCACTCCGCTGGACCCACCAGCAACCCTCGAAACTGGCGGCAAATTCGCAAATCGCAGCCCCCCAGGGACGGCGAACTACCGCTCAGATCTGCGCGGTGCCTCACCCCGCTGGACCCACCAACAACCATCAAACATGGCGACAAATTCGCAGATCGCACCCCCCCAGGAACGGCAAGCTACCGCTCAGATCTGCGCGGTGCCTCACTCCGCTGGACCCACCAGCAGCCCTCGAAACTGGCGACAATTTCGCAGATCGCACCCCCCCAATAACGGCGAGCTACTGCTCAGATCTGCGCGGTGCCTCACTCCGCTGGACCCACCAGCAGCCCTCCCAAGTGGCGGCAATTTCGCAGATCGCAACCCTCCAGGGACGGCGAACTACCGCTCAGATCTGCGCGGTGCCTCACTCCGCTGGACCCACCAGCAGCCCTCGAAAATGGCGACAAATTCGCAGATCGCAGCCCCCCAGGGACGGCGAGCTACCGCTCAGATCTGCGCGGTGCCTCACTCCGCTGGACCCCCCAGCAACCCTCGAAAGTGGCGACAATTTCGCAGATCGCAGCCCCCCAGGGACGGCGAGCTACCGCTCAGATCTGCGCGGTGCCTCACTGCGCTGGGCCCACCAGCAGCCCTCGAAAGTGGCGACAATTTCGCAGATCGCAGCCCCCCAAGGACGGCGAACTACCGCTCAGATCTGCTCGGTGCCTCACTCCGCTGGACCCACCAACAGCCTTCGAAAGTGGCGACAGTTTCGCAGATCGCAGCACACCCCGCGGTACCGCAAGCAAAATGCACGCACAAGAGGTACGCGCAAGGCAAGAGGAGACAAGAGGGAGGTGGGAGGAGGAGGACGCGACCGCAATGCTCTATTCCAAACGGATGCCCAACCAAGGAGGGTTGGGAGCAAAAACCATTACCTCGGCGACGTACCCAACCCCTGCGCAATGCGGGGCAGGAGTAGTAGCTTGGGAGATTTGACGAGAAGGCGGCACCGAGACATGGACGCATATACTTCTGCGAGCAGCATTCGGAAGGTTCACAGGCCCCCAACCAAGGGAAACACGATGAGTAAGTAAGTGAACTCCTGAGTCACTAAGGAAGGCAAAAGGTCCCAAAGGAGAGGTGGGCAAGGGGCTTGACACGTCGGCGGGGCAGCAACAACATAACATGCCACCCCCAAGGACGGCGAGGCCCGCTCAAGTCTGCGCAGTGCCTCACTCCGCTGGAGCCACCAGCAGCCTTCGAAAATGGCGAGCCCACCAGCAGCCCTCGAAAGTGGCGATAGTTTCGCAGATCGCAGCACCCCTAAGGACGGCGAGCTACCGCTCAAGTCCGCGCGGTGTCTTTCTCCGCTGGACCCAATTGGACCCACCAGCAACCCTCGAAAGTGGCGACAATTTCGCAGATCGCAGCCCCCCAGGGACGGCGAACTACCGCTCAGATCTGCGCGGTGCCTCACTCCGCTGGACCCACCAGCAGCCCTCGAAAGTGGCGACAATTTCGCAGATCGCAGCCTCCCAGAGAGGCGAGCTACCGCTCAGATCTGCGCGGTGCCTCACTCCGCTGGACCCACCAGCAGCCCTCGGAAATTGCGACGGCGAGCTACCGCTCAGGTCCGCGCAGTGCTTCACTCCGCTGGAGCCACCAGCAGCCCTCGAAAGTGGCGACAATTTCGCAGATCGCACCCCCCAGGGACGGCGAGCTACCGCTCAGGTGCCTCACTCCGCTGGACCCATCAGCAGCCCTCGAAAGTGGCGACAATTTCGCAGATCGCAGCCCCCCAGGGACGGCGAGGTCCCGCTCAGATCTGCGCGATGCCTCGCTCCGCTGGGCCCACCAGCAGCCCTCGAAAGTGGCGACAGTTTCGCAGATCGCAGCCCCGCTCCAGGGTGGTGGCCGCAGCAATGAATTCGGTGAGTGGGCTCGTCCCGGATGTGTTTCCAGTGTGTTTCTAGAGTTCGGGATTCCATGGGTCTCGTTGGTGCTATTTCTCAGCCAACAAAACCCAAAGATGATGCAGGCATTGTCTGGACTGGGTACCTACACGGCCGTGCAGGTCATGATTGCCCAGCCCAGTTCACGGTGGGTCAAGACTGCGCGTGTAGTGTTGGACGTATTGATGGAAGCTTACATGAACAAGGCGACTTTCAGAACGAAGCTTGTCAAGATGTTGTCGTGCACACTCGTTGTCTGCGCGTCCACGTTGGAGTTGAGGTCATTGTTGTTGTCAGGGCGGCGTTCGCGTGAGACGGCGTGGAGACTATGTCGCCCGCTGATGCCCGCCCTCGCGGACGCGCTGGCTGCTATCGCGGACGCGCTGGCTGCTACTGGTGCGGCAAGCCCACTTCTTTCATCAACATTTTTGGTCGACTTCGTTCGTTTGCAGCTCCGGTACGCTGTTGGTGATTCAGTGTACGCACATATCTATCAGCTGTTAACAGTTGATTCTGAGTATATTGGCCTCGCCCGGTGCACGCGGCGTAGCCTCAAGGACTCGGGTTTGGCTGGGGGTGTCTGCAAGTATTTCGAGCATTACGGAGCTTTCAGGAAGCTGGCGGCCTCACACCGTGTCCGAGTACCGACGAAGGCGGGTTATCTATCATTGTTGGGCACGCCTCAGTGTAAACTTCACTGCACGTGTGTAGGTGCCTCGGGTGAGCAGTCAGCGGCCTCTTTCGCGTGCGAATCATGTTCACTCGGTTGGTGGGCCGCCTCTACCTTCCAATTCTTGCGCGTCTTAGCACTCTCCGTCGGGTTCTCGGCGGGCACGCGCTTCTCAGAGGGACAAGTATTTGCGTCTTGGTTCTGAGTCCAAGTCAGATGATAGATTCCGCTCATTTGCATCGTACATCCGCTCAGTTGCTCGTGCTGGGGAGAGTTTTACAAGGTACAAGGCGAACGCTGCTTCGGTTCAGTCGAGGCTTCGATCACCATTCAAGGCCGTTTACCGAAAGTTCCAACGCCGTCAAATTCTTCCAGGTCCTGTTGATATTTCCGGCAGGGGCAACCTATGGTTGCTGTTGAAATTCCTGGGCCAGCGGCACACTGGCAACAAGTGGAGCCCACCCAACGTCGACCTGGTACTTCGCAGCAGTTTGAAGCGTCGTTGTGCCGACGTGTTGTACCTGTTCCACAACTTGTG